TGCTAAGATCTCTTTTTCAGGTAGGGTGTAGCTGGCCTCAGATCCTTTGTATCTGCTACTCCACAACCCCAGAGGTCTTCCTCGAGTCTCTCCAGGTCCCTTCTGCCAGAGGCTCTAGGAAGGATCATTCTTCCTGGACGCAGTGTAGAGCACATTCTTCACATCCTGTCCTGTCCTGACTGGCCCAAGGGCTACTAGGTGAGCAATCTCTCATTTAATCTGTTCAAAACCTTATTGCTGTTGTTCAGGGCCCCACTTGAAATCATTTTTCTTTGGCATCAAAAGGTAGAGTGGTCGTAGAATCTGACTGTACTCTGGGATATGCATTCTCCAAAAGCCCACGGGGCCTAGGAAAGTGTAGGAAAGACATTCTGTGCTGTCCTTGTGAGCTAGCAGGGACTCCTGAAGATAAGGAGAAGCCCCATATCTCTCCTGAAGGAAGACCAAGGTTGTTACCATGGAGACCAGAGGAAGGAGAGAAAGTTAAGCGATATGGACTCTGGCTGGCTCGCAGAGTGACGTAGCTCCCTGGTCACCTACTGGGAACTTTGTTTCTCTTTTATGGCCAATGGGCACTGTATTTGTGTTAGATGGGTGTAAATATCTGGAAGAAGTATAAAAGCAACATTGCTCTAATAAATCTCTCTCTTGCACCCTTTTGATGGAGTTGTGTACTTTTGTACTGTGTCGTGCTCTATAACGACAGGGAAGCCTGTGTTTCTTGCTGGTTGGTGAGGACATATCAGCTATCTTGTTAATCACTTCTGTTAGGATCTGTCAACATCCAGCTTGTCACTTTACTCATAGGAACTGAATTTCCTGGGCCAGTCCCTTGACCTTACTTTGTTTAATGGGAAAAGCCTCTTTCAGGAGAATCTGGATTATCTTCTCCCCTTTCTCAAAAACCTCCTCTGCCATGTTCCCCCATATGATGATGTCATTGATGTTCTGTAGATGTTCTGGACCCTCATCCTCTTCCAGTGCAGTCTGCATCAGTCCATGGCAAATGGTAGGGCTGTGCTTCTACCCCCCAGGGGCAGTCAGTTCCAAATGTAATGCATGCTCCTCCAGGTAAAAGCAAACTGTGACCTGAACTCTGCTGCTAAAGGGATAGAGAAAAACGTGTTAGCAGTATCAGTAGTGACACCACTTTGCTGCCTTGGACTCGATACCGAAGTTCCAGCATGTCCAGCATGGCAGCATTCAGTGATGGTGTGATTTCATTCAGGCCATGATAATCCACTGTTAGCCTTCACTCTCCATTAGACTTACACACAGGCCATATGGGGTTATTGAAGGGTGAACAAGTCTTGCTGACCACTCCCTGGTTCTCCAGATCATCTTATGGATGGGAATCAGGGAGTCTCAGTTTGTGCTGTATTGCCAATGATTCACTGTTGCAGTAGCAATTGGTACCTGTTGTTTTTCAACCCTCAGGAGTCCTACCGCAGAAGGGTCCTGTGAGGAACCAGGCAAGGTGTTCAACTGTAATGCCTTCTGTCTCCAGAGCAGCTATCCCAAAAGCCTACCAATGTCCTTTTGGGTCTTTGAAATACCCTCTCCTGAGGTAATCTATGCCAAGGATGCACGAGGCCTCTGGGCCAGTTGCAATGGCGTGTTTTTGCCATTCCTTCCCTGTCAGGCTCACTTCAGCTTCCAGTAGAGTCAACTGATGACACCCCCCTGTCACCCCAGAAATGGAAACATGTTCTGCCCCCCATGTGTCCCAATGGCATCAGAGTACATTTCACACCAGTGTCAACCAAAGCTTTATATTCTTGTGGGCCTCATGTGCCAGGTCATTGGATCCACACAGTCCAATAGACCTGATTTTCCCTGGCCTCTACCTGGCTAGAGGCAGGGCTCCTCTAGTTCTAGTCATTGTAGTTATTGCTTCCTCCCTGTGCATGCATCCTGGAGGTCCCTTCAAAGGGAATGGACATGTCATCCTCCCTTTTGTTATACCTAGGAGCTCACCCATGGGAAATTGGAGCTACATTCATCCTTGATGAATTTCCTTTGTTAGTAGTTTCTTCTTTTAGTTTACATACTTGTGCTGCTAGCAAATGGCTGTGTGGTATTTAGTTGCCATCTAGGGTTGAACCATGACACCTGTACACATGCTGCTGCCCTTGAAGGCACTTAGAAAAGACTGTCTCATAAAGGGAATCATAAATATTTACACTGCATTTCTAGATTTCAGAATATCACTTCTACAAAAGCAACAAGATTGTGCTAAAATCATTTTACTTGAAAATCTCTGAGGAACAGCAAACAGCACTAAATACAAACCATAGAGACAGTAAACTACAAGATTATTTGACATTACAAATATAATGCTGAAATATGATAATACAGAAATCAAAGTCAGAAGAGATTGCTATTGAAGCTGCAATTTCTTAAACAGAAAAACAGTAGGGTACAAATGTGTTAGAATCCTGTAAACTGAGGACTTGAGCTTGATTCTGCTTTCATTGACACTGGCACAAATCCAGCATAATTCCACTGATATAAGTGGTGTAACCAGAAATAATTTTTGCCTTTATTAGGAATGATATGAAACTTTATTTCAGCAGATAAAAAGATGCTGACTGGCAAGCTGTTAAAGTGAGAGTATTAGTTTGTTTTAGTGGCCTCAGGAGAAATTCACTTAATACTTTTAGGTAATACAAAGCTTTAAAAACATGAATGCTTAGATGCCTTCTGAAAACTCTTTCCAGACATGCAAGTGTTAATGTGCTATTTTGTTAGCATTTTTAATAATGTAAAAAGGATACCTACATGTTATATTGCCTGGTAATGTGTCACACAATGTCTTGATCATGGAGGTACCTACATATTAGGTGAACCTAATGTATTCAAGTAAACCCACCGAAGTTACCAGAATTAATTAATGACGAAGATAAGCTTGGGTGTGAAAGCTCATGGGCTTGGGTAACAAGAAAAAAACCCCTATAATTTCAGGAAAGTGCAGATTAAATACATTTTTAGTAGCAATGTAGCAGCCTATGGAGGACCCCATGCTGGAGCAGGTGGATGTGCCCTGAAGGAAGTCACAACCCATAGAGAGTCCATGTTGGAGCAAGCTCTTGGCAGGAACTGCAGTTTGTGGAGAGGAGCCCACATGGGAACATGTTTTCTGGCAGGAACTGTGGCCTTGTGGAGGACCCACTCTGGAGCAGTCTGTTCCTGACAGACTGCAGCCTGTGGGAAGGACCCACATTGGAGAAGTTTGCGAAGGACTGTCTCCCACTGGAGGGACCCCACAGTGGAGCAGGGAAAGAGTGTGAGGAGGAAGGAGCAGCAGAGACAATGCATGATGAACTGATCACAACCTCCATTCCCCATCTCCCGCCACCATTTGGAGGGGGAAGGAGGTAGAGGAGTTGGGAATGAAGCTGAGCCCAGGATGAAGGGAAGGATGGGGGGTGGATTTGTTCTTATTTCTTATTGTATTACTATCTGTTTAATGGGCAATAAGTTAAATTAATTTCCCCACATCAAGTCTGTTTTGCCTGTGAAAGTAATGGCTGAGTGATCTCCCTGACATGATCTCAACCAACAAGCTTTTTGTTGTGTTTTCTTTCTGTCTTGTTGGTAGATAAGGAGTGAATAGAACATCGTGGTGGACATCTGGTAGTCAAGGTCAAACCACTACACTATACAAAATTCCATCTCATTGAGCAGTGCTGCCATTCTATGTGAAGACAGGCCCAGAAGTGGTCAATTAATGCTAGATCTTTTGAATAATTCTGGGGGTTTTGCATCTAGGCTTTTATGAGATATTTTTAAAACACTGTACAAGCACTGCAACTTCCACTGTGCTGAAAAAGTCTGGATCCAAGTACCAGAGCATCAAGAAAAACTACCCCATGCTGCATTCTGTCAGAATACTCCCCAATTTTACCCAGAAACTAACTCACCGGTAAGGCCTTACTTGCGGCTTGAAGCATAGCATCGTCTGAATAAGCACGTGAGTACCCAGCGAGACCTTCATCACTGCGTATTTGGCGGCTGGACACGAAAACTGATTTCTTCTCAATCCCCCGCTTCCTCTGCCCCTAATGGCTAGAGCCTGTGGCATCGCCCTTCGCCCGGATCTGCTCCCCTCTCCCCCGCACTGTAGCATCCTCGCTAGGGTGCCTCATTAAAGCTGTTCTCCCTGTAGGCAGCAGCATAGCACTGAGCAAATTCCCGCTTTTGTTTGTTTGTTTGGTTTTGGTTTTGTTGCACTGGAATGACCTGCGAACAGCCCTGCTTTCTCTATAGACCTACGTGAGTATTTATTGCTTCACGCTTTGGTAGTGCAAAAGACTCGCACAGTTGTTCTCAATTTCGATGCCGTAGCTCGGGAGAAGAACAAACTTTGGCACGATCTGTGGAGATCTGTCTTTTCCTGTTTGGTCGTTGTGGTGTCATTTGGTGTGGGGTTTGTTTTTTTTGTTTGTTTGTTTGTTTTCTCCGAGGCAGGAATGGTGAGGGGCTCCCTATTCTTTTCTCCCCTCCCTGTATCCCTCACACTCCTCAAGAGGGAGTAGGGAGCCCCCATCTTCTTTGTTAGCTACCTTACGCTTCGCGCTCTGCTGCCTACTCCCTGCGTGAGAATGAGATACTAAACGCGCAAATGCCGCTCACCAATCTGCCGTTTTCTCTGTCACTAGCTAACTAGTTTCCTCCCCCTTTTCTTCTTTGCCCCACCCATGCAGTCGCGTGCCCTCGCTGGCTTTTGGGGGAGGGGTGGGGTGAGAGTGTAGAGTTGTACTTCCGCAAGAGTTGCTCCCCTCGCGGCTGCAGGGGGGCAAAGCAGCAGTGCTGGGGTCTTGAGGGATTACTCTAGGCACTCAGACAGTTATTATTCAGAGCCTGTCTGCTTGAGAAATCTCCTAAGTACTAGCTCCACTCCCCGCAGGCGGAGGCGTGGGCAGGAGGAAGTCGTCGCCACCTCCCCGGAGTGCTGCGTTCGGCGGGGGAGGTGGAGGTAGGAGGGAGTGAGGCTCAACATGATGGCGGCTGAGGCCGGGGTTGAGGAGGGCGGCTCGGTTACCGCTGCCGGGATGGTGGGAGCTGCTGGCGGAGCTGAGTCGGAGCACTACCCCACATTATGCCGGGGCAAGGAGCTGGGGTCGCAGGGCCCCTTCCTGGCTGGCTCTGGCGGGGACAGCCTGGGCGCTGGCGGTCCGGCGTTGTGCTCGGCGCTGGGGCTTCTGGCGTTAAGCTCCGGGCCTGCCTCTCTGGCGTCCAGAGACGCACTGTTAGCAACTGGACAAAGGCCGGAGGTGTCCGGAGAGGTGCTGCTCCCACCCAGACCCAGCACTGTCGCCTTTCCCCCGCTGCCGCCGCCGCCGCCACAGCCACCTTCCTTGGCGGGGGGGCTGGGGATTGTGGATGAAGGCGACTCGTTGGATGGGCCCGAGTATGAAGAGGAGGAGGTGGCCATCCCGCTCAACGCTCCCCCCACAAACCAGTGAGTAGCAGCGTTTCTGAACCCCGTCGGGTGTCCGCCACCCCTGGACGTTTCCCCCGCGGGGAAGAGGGGCGCCGCAGTGGGCAGCGCGGCATCAGGCCCACACGCTTTCTCAAACTCCTGTGGAAGTGTCGTAGAAATTTTTCATTAGGTTATGTTTGGAAAGAAAAAAACAATTGAAAAAATTAAGTCTTTGTTAATATTTTTATTATACTTTTCCTTCCATCAGCTTGATCGTGATTCCTACAATGCTAGTTATATAAAGAATCTTGCGCTGGAGGCGGAGTAGTTCTCCAGTTATATTTTGCGAAATAAAAAAAAAATCACATAATGTTATATAGAGTTAATGTAACTGGCAAGTGCACTAAACAACCTTTGGATTTGACAATGAACTAATTCCAGGAAGTCTGCAGATTTACATAAAAAGGTAGCAAGGCTTTTGTCCTGTTTTTGCTGGGATAGTTAATTTTCTTCCCTGTAGCTGGTATAACGCTGTATTTTGGATTTAGGACAATAAGGTTGATTACACATAGATGTTTTTAGTTGTTTCTAAGCAGTGTTTACACTAAGTCAATGACTCTTCAGCTTTTCATATCACCCCACCAGCGAGTAGGCTGGGAGGGAACATAGCCAGGGCAGGTGACCCAAACTGGCCAAAGGGGTATTCCATACCATATGACATTATGCTCAGAATATAAGATAGAGGGAAAGTTGTCTGGGGGTTGCTGCTCAGGAACTGGTCGGCAGGTGGTGAGCAACTGCATTGTGCATCGCTTGTTTTGTATATTCTAGCTTATTAGTGGGGGGAGGAGTGAGTGAGTGGCTGTGTGGTGTTTAGCTACCTGCCAGGTTAAACCACGACAGCTTGTATTGGAACAGCCCTCAAGTAAGTACTTTATTCTCCCCAAAATGAAACAGTTTCAAAGGCTTAAATTGCTTATGTTGGCATATAGAAATATGTTATTTCTGAAGTTGTAGTAAGTATAGAGAAAATCATAGTTTCAAGGTAGAGGATGGCAGATATATTCAAGGTATAGGTCAAAATTCATCTGAAAACCCATCTGAATTTGAGTTCATTTTTACCATCTTTCATAACTGGTGTTGGAGAGTTCATTTCTGTAATATTAAATGTTTGTTTTTTAAAAGTAATCTCTAACCATGGCAGGCTTTCTACTAATCCTTTCCTCTTTTGATTTATTGACTTTTTGTGAAAGATAATAAAGAATAAGACCTTGTTTTGTGAAGACAGTGTTTGAATAGTCCTAAAGTTTTATACTTCCATAAAGAGCTAGCAATATAATCAGGCAGTTTAAGATAAAGACTGAGGAGGGAAATAGAGGCACATAAAGGGAAAGTTACTTCTTCAATATTGTGTATTATGTCAGAGAGAGACAGTATCCTGTTCTTCTCTCTGAAAGATCAGACTGCTTTTTCTGTTAGAACTGGTCATTATGTATCTCAGAAAGTAAGGTTGTGCTTTTTTTCAAATATTTTTTAGAAAGAGAGGTAATTATTGGTGAATGATCATGTATTTGATACTAAGTAATCATTACTACTTTCACAATTATAAGTGAATTTTGCTGTCAGAGTATTGTAACTCGCATTATAGTGTGAAGGTTAACTTTCATAAAAGAGGATACAAAATTTCTGACAAAAAGCATGACTGCGAAGGCCCCGATTTTCTCTGTTGGTCCATGAGGCTACTTAGCTTGTTAAGACAAAAGCAATATTGAAGCCTTTGCAGGACCAGCATAACTGTGTGGTTGAGTATTTGTTCTTGCGGGTCCTTCAATATAAATACATTTAGGCAGCAAAATAGATGTTGAAAAATTGATTCAGAAACTTATATCTCCATCTACTTACCTGTTTTTTTCTTTGTAACTTATAATTTTTGTGACTTTTTTTAAAGTTGTTGGCTAATTAAAAATAATCAGAATTTCTTTTCTCTTTCATACATCTATTTTGATACAAAGTAATTTTTTACCATTGTCAGTTAAGTAATTTAAATTAGCTGCATGTTGATAGTAAGTTTTATTCTTTCAGTCCTGATGTTTTATTTTGGAAGCCTACTTCGTAGTCATACCATCTGTTTTTATAGAATTAAACAAAGATCTGTCACTTTAATATTATAAGCAAACACCTAATACACTTCCTCTTTTCCAAGTACCTCAGGAAAATGGGAATAAATTTTAATATGATTAATTTTGTAGCAGTGGGAGAAGCTTGTCAATATGTAACAAATTCTGCTAATTAAAATACTCAAAGTCCAAAGTATGATTGATTGATATTTCCCTTTGGTCATTGTAACAGCCTAAGGAGGCACTGCCAAGATATAGGTTCAGGATACAGTAAGAGATGCTAGACCAAACAGCTTTAGGGATAAACAAGCTACTGCTAAATAGAGATCAGTAGTACAATTATCTGTGTTTTACAACACATTCAGTAATTCACTAATTCACTAGTACAATTATCCAGGTCAAAACAACAGCAAATCCAATCATTTACCATTACTGGGCTAAACTTAATACCCATGAGTGCAAAGGCTTACATAACCATGGTTATTGAGCAGGGTGGCAAGAAGCAGGGCGTGGCTTCTTTGGATGAATGACACAGACCAGCTGATGCACTCAGGGAATTCAGAATTCCATGATTGGGCTGACCTCTTTAATTTTTGAATTGTGGAAGCACTATATGGACATGTTAACCAATCATCACACATCCTACCTCTGTTTCAGTTCTGTCCTTAGTGTGCAGAAGGCATGCAAATACTGTGCAAGGCAATGCACCACAATCCTGAATGAGACTGACTTAATGATTGTCTGTTCAGTGTATACTTTTTCATTTGAGTATAGAAGTAGTATGTTTCTGCTGTAGCTTAATGGTAGGTGGGAGGCACAGGATGCTAGGTAATAGAGTGGACAATTCCCTTTGTGTGTTGGGTGTTTTTCTCTGCACTATCTACCCCATCTGCAAAGTGTACTGCTAGAGGTTGATGGCAGTCTGAAACGGTGTTACAGAAATGCCTACAAAGTTAAAGAATGAATGATACTTAATTTACTAGTAAACTGGTGATATGTGAAATAGTTTAGTTGTTTATGTATTTGAATAACAATCTTAAAGTTGACAAATTATATCTTAGTGTTGCATTAAGATGGCAAAAGCAGTTCCACTATATTCAGACACAATTCATATTTTCACATGGTGTTTCTTTAAGTGATGAATATCATGTTGAAATGATATCCTTTGAAATCCTTTGATAACAAAAATCCTTTCCATGGTAGATGTATTGTTACAGTCACTCTTGGTATCTGTTGAGACAACATTAGTGAGAAAAAAAGAGAGAGAGAGAGAGCTGGGTAGAGAAGTATTTAACAAATGTGGTTTGAGTAAAAGGAAAAAATGTTTTGTCTCAATGTAGTGTGAAATTATAATTTCTTCAGCTGAATTTGTCAGAGGTAGCAAGTCCAGAGTTCTGCAGCATTTGTTTATTTCTGTAGCTAATAAAATGTTTTTCTGAAAGTGCATAGCTTTACAATAATTATTGAAGGCTCTACTCCATACCAAAGAATAAATTTGTATTGCATTGAAAACTGAGGGGAAATACGTTTGGCATGTTTGGACTCTACATCATCTCTAAGCAGCCTGTGTCCAGTGCTCAGTCACCTTCACAGTAAAAAAAAAAAGTGTTTCTTCATGTTAAGACAGAACCTCCTGTGCTTCAGATATAGCATGTTGTCCTGTCACTGGGCATGATTGACAATAGCCACTGTCATCTTTGCACTCTCCCTTCAGGTATTTGTATATGTTGATGAGATCTCCTCTGCTCTCTTGGCTAGACAGCCTTTCCTCATAGGAGAGATGCTTCAGTCCCTTCATGGCCCTTTCCTGGACTCACATCAGTATGTCTGTGTCTTTCCTGTACTGGGGAGCCCAAAACTAGACATAGGACTCCAAATGTGGCCTCACCAGTGCTGAATCACCTCCCCCAACCTGCTGGCAACATTCCTCCTAATGCAACCCAGGATACCATTTGCCTTCTTTGTAGCAAGGGCACATTGCTGGCTCATATTCAACTTGGTGTCCACCAGGACTCCCCAGGTCCTTTTCTGCCAAACTACTTTCCAACTGGTAAGCCTCCAGTATGTGTATTAGTGCCTGGGCTTATTCTTCCTCAGATGCAGGATTTTGTACTTCCTGTCATTGAACTGCATGAGATTCCTGTCAGACCATTTCTCCAGCCTGTCAAAGTTCCTCTGGATGGCAGCATGACCCCTTGGTGTATCAGCTGCTCCTCCTGGTTCTGCAAACTTGCTATGGATATGCTGTTCCTCATTGTCCAGATCATTAATGAAGGTGTTAAACAGGACTAGACCCAGTATTGACCCCTGGGGTACATACTAGCCTCCAACTAGATGTGCTGCTGACCACCACTCTCTTGGCCTTGATGTTCAGCCAGTTTTTGGTCCACCTCACTGTTTGCTTATCCTGTCCATATATCAAAAGCTTCTCTATGAGGATCATATGAGTGTGTCTCAGTCTGAAAGACAAATGTCTGCCAAGGAAGGCGGAAACCTCCCTTGGAATGGAGAATATGACCCTCTTCCCTCCGAATTATTATAACTTTGAAATTAAGGGGCTTTCAGGCAAGATATGGGAAAAGGAATAACAGTTCTTTACTAGTATGTATAACAAGGCAAACAAACAACAATAATGGCAGCAACAACAAACAAAATCACAAACCCAGTAACAGCCTTCTCTCGGCTGGCAGGCACTCTCTCCTTTGGTGTAGTTATGGTCGCAGCTGGCAGGGGCGATGGTGGCTCCCCAGCCGGGCAGGGCAGGTGCGATGATTTCCCTGCAGCTGCAGGGGGCGCTGTGGCATAAGTTCGGCCGTCTCTTTCATGTGGACAATGGCGGATGCAGACGGCGGAAAGGGATAGGGGAGGGGCTTCCTTTACAAACCTCCACCGGCAGCCGATCCCGGTGCCCCCTCTGGATAG